CGGAGAGCTCGGCTGACATAGTAGACTGGCGCTTGAGTGCCCTCATCCCGGATGAGCACAACGCTGACAGCCTCGTCCGCTGCGGAGAGGTAGAGGTAGAGATTCTCCTCGGGCCGAGGTGAAGCGAGGGTGAGTAGGTGGTGCAGGTACTGCTTCACCTTGTCGAAGGCAGCCTGGCACTCCTCAGTCCAGGCAAACTGATCGGCCTTCTTTAGCAGCTTGAAAAAGGGCAAAGCTTTTTCTGCGGACTGGGATAGGAAGCGGTTCAGTGCAGCCAAGCGTCCATTCAGCCTCTGGACTTCCCGGAGGTTCCGAGGTGGGGACATGTCCTGGATGGCCTTGACTTTGTCGGGGTTAGTTTCGATTCCCCGGTGGGAAACCAGATACCCCAAAAATTTTCCTGAGGTGACGCCAAAGACGCACTTCTTGGGGTTTAACTTCATCCTTGAGTCGCGGAGGACGCCGAAGACCTCCTTCACATCCGACAAGAAGGCCGAAGTGGTTAAGCTTTTGATGAGAATATCGTCCACGTAGGCCTCCACATTTCGGCCGATCTGATTTTTGAAAAGGCGGTTGATCAGCCTTTGATAGGTCGCCCCGGCGTTTTTTAACCCGAATGGCATGGTGGTATAGCAGTAGACACCTTGTCGGTGTAAAATGCCGTTTTTTCTTGGTCTTCCTCACTCATTCCTATTTGGTGATAGCTTTTGAAGGCATCTAGGAAGCAGAGGATCTCATGTCCCATTGCCGAGTCGACGAGGGCGTCGATCCTCGGTAGAGGGTAGCAATCTTTGGGGCATGCCTTGTTAAGGTCGGTGAAGTCGACACACATCCTCCATCCACCGGCATCCTTTTTGACCATGACAGGGTTGGAGAGCCAGGTGGGGTACTGGACCTCATGGATCATCTTGGCGGGCAGGAGCTTGTCGACCTCATCCGATATGGCCTTGCTACGTTCGGGGCCAAAGTGCCTTCGTTTCTGTCGCACAGGTCGGGCCAGTGGGTTAATGTTGAGTTGATGAATCATGAGCTCGGGTGGCACTCCAACCACTTCATCTGCGGACCACGCGAAGACGTCTCGATGGTCCTTGATCAGGGAGATCATTTCTTCTTTCAGGGGTGGGGAAAGTCCGGCCCCTACTTGGACCACTTGGTCAAGTTTCGCTTCATCCAAGACCACTTGTTCCACCTCATCCCCGGGCTCAAGCCTGTTGGCCTCTCCTGCCTTCTGAGGGTCGATGCAGTCTATGAAGAGGACTGCTGGCCTCTTTTCTTCTGACCTCGGAGAGAGCCAGGGTGTGACTGCTGCTTGAATGGTGGCGAGGTAGCATTCCCGGGCGGCGCCCACGTCGCTGCTCACCTCGGCCACCCCCTCAGGTGTTGGGAATTTAAATCTCAGGTGGTAGGTGGAATATACGGCTCTCAAGGCGTTGAGCGTGGGCCGGCCTATTAGCATGTTGTAGGGAGAGTCTGCTTTAACCACTGCAAAACTGACAGGCACAGTTCGGCAGGGGGATGACGCCCGATGGTCACCATCAGGGACACCATACCCTCGGGGTGGACCACGTGTCCCCCGAATCCAACGAGGGGAGTCCTGACCGGAGTGAGCTGCTCCCTGGTCAGTTTCAAACTCTCGAAAGTTCGGTAGTACAAGACGTCTACCGAGCTTTCGGGGTCAACATAGACCTTTTTGACTATATAGTTGTTGGTGAGGACCTCGATCACGAGGGTTTCGTAGTTGCTGGAAGCGGCGGGGACGGGGTCAGTGGGACCATAGGTGATGACCTCGGACAACCGAGAGCTCGGCTCGGCCACCTCCATCCCGGTCTGGCGTAGGTCCGCTTCCGGGAGTTCTGGCTGTCTCCTCCCGTCGGTCCTCCCGCGATCGTGTTGATCACCCCGGCGATGTTGAGGCCGTAGCCCGGTGATCCGTCGCGTGGAGGCTGCTTGTCCTCCCTACGATCCTCGGGATCTCGGCAATGCATGTTCGTGTCCCGCCTGTCCTCTCGGCGGGGGCCCCGGTTCTCTCGGCGGGGGCCCCCATCCTTGCGGACGAATTGCTTCAAGTATCCTTGCCGGATCAAATTCTCGAGCTCTCGCTTCAGATCATTACAGTTTTCAGTCTCGTGCCCAACATCCCGGTGGTAGGCACAATAGAGGTTCGAGTTCCTCTTATCTCTCCTCCCTGGAATTTCAGGAGGGTTTCGGCCGAGGTGATTCTGCCTCATCACAGCCAGGACATGGGTCCGGCTGGAATTGAGAAGTGTCAGCTCGGCGTCCGAGGTGGACGACCTTCCTTTTACGATCCGGTCGAAGACACTTCGGCGGTCTCGAAACTGAGTCGACGAGCCACTGGGGCCTTGTTCGACTCGGCCGGCGTCTTTTTTCCTCCGGGAATCTTGCCCGGTACGAGCGGCTTGAGCCTCTCGCTTCATACGGTTTAGATCTTCGCTTCGGATTCCCTGATCTACTCGATCCCAGAGTTCCCGGTGTGTGGGGGTAATCCCGGTGTATCTCAGTATTGAAGATTCCCGCGGTCAGCCCATTGGTGAAGGCAGCTATGGTTACCTGGTCATACTGATCAGGTATCTGCACGTTCTCCTCATTGAACCTCTGCACGTAGGAGCGCAGTGACTCGCCGGGGGCTTGCTGCAGGTTCAAGAGGTAGGCTGAAGTCTTCGTAATCGGACGAGATGATACAAAGCGGTGAATGAACCGATCTATCAACTCATCCAGTGAGAAAATGCTCCTCGGTTCTAAACCCCAGAACCACTTTCGGGCCGTGCCCTGCAGGAAGATGGGGAAAGCTCGGCAAATTACTGCGTCGGGGACGCAATAGAGCCGAAAAGCGGAGAGGAAGGCGCGGAGGTGATCCTCGGGGTCACCTCGGCCATCGTAGGAGCGCAGGCGGGAAGTTTAAAGTTTGGGGGGACCATCTCCCCATTGATGTCATCCGTGAAGGGCGGTGCCCTCAGATATTCGGCTGCTAAGCCTCCGGGACGCCGAGGTGGGTCCTCAGCTCGTTTTCCCAGGAGGCCCTGGGAAAACGCCCGGGAAATGGAAGCGATCTTAGACGTCGCCTTGGAAGAGGCGCGTCTGGAAGTGCTCCGAGAGAGGTGCCCCTCATCGGAGTCTTCGCCGGAAGGCACTTCAGGGGACTTCGTCGGTCTCCTCTTGGAGGATTCTGCTTTTTCCTTCCCCTGCCTCTTGAAGTACCTCCCCAGTTCTTCGAAGATGTTTGGGTTATCAGCCACGAATTCGGCCATCTTGACGATGGCGTCTTCGTTGTGGGGCTGGGTCCTTGGGGACCCTTGTTCTTCAGAAATACGATCTTGCTGGGCTCCTGATGTTTGCCCAGCCCCGGTTGAGGTGACTCTTCCACTTCTGGAGCGCGTGGATCTCATTTTAGCAGTAATCTCGTTCCCACAGACGGCGCCAATTGAAGAGGTGATTTTTGGTGGGTAGTTGAACCGACCAGAATCAGGCTCCTCTGAGATGAAGTGAGGTGTATCCTCGTGTCCGAAGTGAATGGCGGGGCTTCTCCCCTGGGTTCACTCCGACGATCAAGTTAGTATGAGAACGAGAGAAAAGCAGTAGTATTGTCAAATGAACAGTATGCTTACTTGTTGGGAGTGTGTGGGGTATTTATAGAGTGGGAGTGGAGGTCAGGACGGAGGGTTAATGCTGGTGGGACCCATGTCCTGACATTACGGCTCTGTTCCCTGCCAGGAGGCTTGACTCTGACACTGTAGCCGCCTGGGCTGGATGACGGGGGTCCTGCGCAGTAGTCATTAAGATCATCCAGTGCTTTTCAGATAAAGCACTGGTCCTGGGTGTTGTCAGGGGTGTTGACATCATCAGCGTCTAGCCGAGGTGGTAGCCAGGGGTGCAGAGGTCATCCAAGTAGGAGACCATGGATCGAGCCGAGCTCAGGGTCCGGATCGGGGAATGGCTGTATTCGTGTAGGAGACGAAACGAGGTCACCTCGGCAACAAGGTACGGCCGAGGTGAGCACCCTCACCGGTCATTTCATTTATTCTCCTTTTGTTCCTTTTTTTTGACACGAAGAAATTTTTTGTTTTTCTCTAGGAGAATAATTAAACATCAATTTGCTTTTAATAGGCATCTCATCTACCAAGACAATACGCCAATGTTTTGACAAAAAAAAAAGGATAATATCAGAAACCTCCCTTTAGGTTTCTCCTAATATCACTCACCGCTCCTGAAGTTTTTGAAATATCACTTATCTCCCCTAATAATAGTAAAAAAATTATATTAACCCTCATTTGACACATAATTCACACACCAAATAAATGGAGATTAAATTTTTAAAAAAAAAAGAAACGAAAGTCACTTTCTTCTGTTTTTCTTTTGTTCATCATTCTCTCTTACTCATTTTTTAAATGACTATACAATATTTTATTTATAAATTATAATAAATTAAATTTTTCTATCTTTCATTTTTTGAGATTGTGATAAAATAAGGTATGATTTATTTGCTTATTCTGAGTTGATTTTTATAATGATTTGTACAATATAATAGTTTGGATAAAAGTTGAAAAGATGTTTAAAAAATATATAAAAAGTTCATAAGAAATCGATTTTGAGTATAGAGAATTAAATTGGTGCAAGTATATTTCTTTTAAATATTTTTTTATTTTTAAAATTTATATTTTATGAGGTATAGCAAAAATAACAAAAATAAGAAATATTTTTATGGCGTAATAAATATTTTTGTTACATAAATAACAAAAATAAGGGAGGTAAGTAATATTTTTAAAATTTGAGGGGTGTTAGGTGATATTAAGAGAAATCTTAGGGGAGGTTTCTGCTATTATCCCCAAAAAAAAATACTATATACCAATGTCGTACCTTTAACCGTCAGTTGGCAGTTGGCACCCAAAAATCTGAGAATGCGTCTCGTCCAGCCACATAGGTCGGCTCAAATATTGGTCCCTCGAAGCTTTAACCGTCAATAACGGTTTCTTCAGAAGCTGAGGAAAAATCCAAGAATGCGCAGAAAGGTGAATTCCCAATTTCCCACTTCTCTTGCTCCGATCATAAATTACACCCAATCGAAGATGTCTTCGAAGGCGGTGGTTTGCTCCCTTTTGGCCACCGCCCTCGTCCTGCTCATTGTGTTGTCCAAAAATTCAAAACCCGACGACCATCGCAAACATGATGCCTTAAGTAGGCGTTTGGGTTCTCCCATATTTGACCCCATTGTCGCGAAAGGCCATAGAAAAGCTGAGGAGAATACGTCAAGAGACACAAAAGCAGCAGCAGCAGCGGCAGCGTCATCCAGCTATATTAATGCAGCTAAAGAAGATATGAAATATTATGACGAAGACGGGACATTAAACTTGAGGCTAAGGTTGATGGTTCTGTTTCCTGTTTTGGACGTGGCTCCCCAGGATGGGATGGTTGATTCCAAGGAGCTGGAGGCTTGGCTTACCCAGCAAGCTGTTGATAGATTGGATTACAGAACAAGGAGAGAATTGGAGTTGCGCGATAAAGACGGGGATGCATCAATTTCTTTCTACGAGTACCTCCCTCAGTTCACCAAGGAAGACATTGGTAACTCATCATTTGATTCTTGAATCTCGTGTAACATTGGTTGTGCAACGTTTGGCTGTCTACGAAATGGTGGGAAACGAAGAAAAATATTTCCATGGCTGAGCCCTCCCAATTTTTATTTTTCTTGTTTTTTAAGATAAAACGTCTATTGATTACGATGAGATCAACAATTTGATTAAACGATGAAAACATCTTGACTTCCCCATTTCGTGGCCAACCAAATGGAGCATATGGATACTTTTATGGGCAGAGCTCTAATGAAAAGAGAGAATCTACTGGAACAGAGAGAAACGATACGAGATATGGGGAAGCCGGATGGTGGATGGAACAATTTAACGATTCTGATGTTGATAGGAATGGGAATCTCAATTTATATGAATTCAGGGAGTACGTGATCTGTCTTTCCAGTTCAATAATCAGCGACTTAGTTTTAATCAACATCTCTTACTGATGATATACGAAATTTTGAATTTTTCAGTTTTCTGCATCCAGAAGACAGCAGGAATGAACGTATTCAAAGGCGATTGTTGAGAGAGAAGCTAAGGTTGGTTCTATTCCAAATTGCTGACAATGTTTACACCTCTTCTTCTTCACACGTATTTGCAATATACAATGCCATATCCTTGTCCTATCTTTTAAATGTTCAGGCAGATGGATAAAGACAATGACCAAAGGTTGAATTTGCTGGAATTTGAGGTGGGGGCATACAATGACTACAAGTTTTACCTCGACTACGAATCAGGAAGCGCGGCAAATATATCTTCAGCAGCAGCTGTATTTGACAAACTTGATGTTGATCACGACAAGTAACTTTTTGCTTTTTCTGTGAAAATATATCCCGGATGTGGTAATTAAAACCACATATGGCTAAAGTTTCAAGTATATTTAATCCTTTAATTTGGTGTCGACAAACTGCTGACAGATTGTTGAGAGTGGAAGAATTGAAGCCTTTATTCAAGTATCTGAAACCAGGAGAATTGGTATATGCTAAATACTACACCAATTATTTGATTCAGGAGGCAAGTTTCTCTATTGCTATGTGCTAAACACTCTCAAGCAAACTGTGTAAAACAGTCTGCCTTTAATTTCTTCCATTTGATTTTTTCTTTCTTTCCTTTTTTTTTTCTGGCTAAAAAGCCCATGTATCTACCGTTTAGTGTTTACACCAATGGCTAGAGTAATTATAACCACAGGTTATTGCTTTGTTTGTCATGATATTGAAAAAAGGCTGACGAGAATAGAGACGGAAAATTGACGCTGGATGAGATGCTGAATCACGAACACATTTTCTACAACACGGTTTATGACAATGGGAAGCATGAGAATGAATATTACAGTTATCATGATGAACTCTGATGCAGTAGCGCCTGTGCCTGCGCTAACTCACCAACTTCCCTTGGTTCTCGAAGATGGAGACAAGAGAGATGTGAAAGCTGCTGCTTGGCAAACAACTTTTTTCCTAACAAAATCCTTTGCAGCAATTGAATACGTGCTCTCTATAAAGGGGCAGCGTTGCGGCGGAGAGAAGAAGAGTCCCAAGAATTCACGAGTTCAAGGTGCTAAGAGACAAATCAAGGAGAGCTGCCTTGACAGAACACTTGCCGGTAAACATTTAGGTAGATTGTTGTCGGGAGAGAGCCATATTAGCCAATTGCAAAGACACTCATCTCTGAGGTTACCATTTTTGTTTGTTTGTTTCCTCTCTTTATCTCTAAATCGAAGATACATCCATCCCTACATTATAGACACTCACAGGGTGCAAAATAGCAAGTTAAACTTTGAGTCTGTGCTCGTGGCTTTCAAAATGAGAATGCCTTTGTTTATGAACGGGTTTGTGTGGCCCGCATTGTTTCTTTTTTTCTTTGGTGTTTTTCATTTTTTGATTTTATTTTGCACAAGGGCAGGGGCAATTTCATCTTAGGTAGAGAACTAAATCCAGATTTAAGACAGTTGGGATACTCTGTATCACTATTCGATATCAAATTAGTGTCAGTCCTACGTATTACGTGAGGATAAAAGAAAATTAAATAAATAACATATGACAACTTAAATAAATAAAATACTTAGCATAAATATAGAAATTGGCATCGAGAAAAAAGTGGCACTGAAAATTTAACGTGGATTCAAGATGTTTTAGTTCCTACCTTTTAAGAAACCATGCTTAAAGCAACGGTTTTGGACATGGCCAAGTTGGCTAGCTGAACGGGGCTCATCCACGCTGACTTCCATCGTACGCGAGAGATTCATGTGGTATTTCAATCATACATAAAAATCAAAGAAGTGTTGAGCTTTTCAATCAAGAATAATAGGCGTAGTCAATTTTGATTGGAAGGATAGAACGGAGAAAAATTGCCTGCTTTATCCCATTTTTTGCGTGACTGGGTGGCAAGTGATAGTAATTTGGAAGTGAATGGATTGACTCATGACCTGAGTCAACCTAACTAATGCACTATTCACTTAAGCTCGTCAAGCTCTTAAAACTCACCCTTCTCGTATCAGCTGGCGGTTGCGCTCCATCTAGTTTTAGCTTACTCAAGTTCAATTGCTCTTAACTCATTTGAGCTCACTTGTGTTTAAATAATATACACTAGTAATTTGCCCTTGCATTGGCATAGAATAATTTTTTATTGTAATTATTTCCGAATGAATGCAAGGCTTAAGTAATTCATTAACAATGTTTTTATAAATTATTCATATTTATATCAAAAAATTATTATACTCCAAATATTCAACTACCATATTAGTCTTTAGAAATTGTTAGATGTAATTTTTTTATAATGTGATAATATTCATTCAATATTATAAAAAACAACTATTCTTTGAGATAGTAATTAAAATTCATTATAAATATGATTATACACCCACTCGTATTCATTTTTAGTTCAAGGCAACGGGTCCATATGAGGTTATGGTACTTTTGATTAAAAGCAAAAGCTTTTATTGGTGCTAAAAGTTTTTATCACTTTTGGGTACTAAAAATATTTTGGTAGTGTTTGATGGATGTCATCCTATAAAATTAGAAGTGAAACTTTTAGTGTTAAAAGTATTTTTTTAACAAAAGTTCAAATTTGGTGCTTTTAAAATGAATTTTATATTTAAAAACATATTAAATTTAATCATTTTATCATATTTTATGAACTAAATAAAGAGATGAATTCATTTAAAATTTTTAGAAAATTGAGGCATTGAACATGCATTTTCCTATTTATTTTACACATTTGAAGTTGGTGGAAACCACAACCATTGTGGTGTGAAGTCCATCTCTTCTTTGAAGATGGCACTTGGTTCCGTTTGGAATTGTGGTAATTTATTGAAAAGTATTTCATCGATAGAACTTTTGATAAAAGTACTTATTAAGTGTTTAATTTTTTTTAAAATATATTGTTTGGATACATAATTCAATAAGTACTTATTGTATTGAATAATATGTAATTTTAAAAATTTAAAATGTATTTATCCATTTATTTAGCTCATAATGCAAGACAAAATGGTTAAATTTAATGTTTTATTTTTTAAACAACAAAATTTACTCTAAAAGTATCAAATTTGAGTTTTTGTTAAAAGTGTTTTTTAACACCAAAAACTCACTTCTTGATTTTATGGAATAACATTCACCAAATACCTCAAAAATACTTTAACACCTAAAATTACCTTTTTTTTAAAAAAATCAAAAGTACCCTAGGCCCAAAATGGGGGCTTAACATGTTGTCAAAGCTAGATTAACATGATGTCCAACATAAAAAATTCTATCTTACACATGATAACTCAAGGTCTTCAAAATCACAACTAGCAAATGGAATCCATAAATGACAAATGGAATCCACAACCAGTCTATTATGCGTGTAATGGCCATGATACACATCATTACTATTACACTTTCACTATACTCCCACTCTGGTTATGGGACCGAGTGAGTATAATGGATGGGTGTATCTATCACATTCAATTATGGATGCCCTAAGTTACTCAAACAACATTTGCATTTACCGAAAGGGTTTTGAATAGGGATTTCACATCAAATCCACCTACGCACCTTTAATTAATCCAAATGGACTGCTTCGGAATTTTCTATTATTGATATAATTAAATGTTGTATCAAATAATGTGTGAGGTGAACTTTTGTAAGCTATATGTTAATTGTTAATTATAACCATTTAAATAACGTATTTTTACTACTAAAAAGTGGTAGTTGTTTCATGTGAAAATGCCTGTAGTACTTCTCGCTGAAATAAACGGTAACCGAAGGTTCTAGAATTGTTTGCATTGGGACGCTTGCAACACCTTCTTTGTCAGGAACGGGCAATGCGGGGATACGGGAGGGAAAAAATAGAAAAACTCGAACAGGGAAAAAACTCAAAAAGTTCCAAGCAGTTGCGTTTGTAGGCCGGGCAGAGCCGGGAGGCGATAGTAGGAGTGCGTGATTTTTAAAACAAAGCGCACCTTGGGGTGGAGGACGGACGCAGGACACCAACAAGCCAACGATCCCACGTTTCAAATTCGCGGACATTTTAAGGAAATAATTACGCCCCCAGATATTAAATTAAAAACATTTGCATAATCCAACTTCAGCTTTACCTCCGCGTCTCTCTCTCTCTCTCTCTCTCTCTCTCTTCTTCCTCCATTGTCTCTCTCTTAGGGTTTCATATCGATCCGAGAGTCCGATTCTCTTACTCGCACTCTATCTCTCCCATCTCGTCAACTCACGCCTTTAGGTAATATTCTCCTCGTTCTTACTGATTTCGTCATGGATTTATGTTTTTCTCTTCTCAAATTTAAACTAGCGTTTCTTGAGCCAACTCAATGCTCGATCTATCCTCTATGTTTTCTTGCCTTTTTTTTTTTTCTCTTTTAAAAGTGCTTTGTAAGTTTAACTTTGTATGCTTGCTTATTGTACAATACTTGAAATCCCGATCTACGTAGTTCTTTTTTTCCTTTTTTTAATTGTCATATCTTTGCGCGCTCAAGTAACTTCCGTTTTGCGTTCAGTTAATTCATTTTCCTAAAATCAGACGAGTTTTCTTTAGATCGGTTAGCTTTTATGTTTGTTTAAATCACGAGTTAAGCTTTTAGAGCTCGGATGTGTTGGTTGGATGTTTGTGCACTTAGGTGGGATTCGGGTATTTAGTTTATGGGCTTCAGCTTTGCAATTCATGGGATTTTCCTGTTGCATATTATAATTCCACGTGGCTTAATTTTGACTCGGTCTCTGGATCAATTATAATTAGTTTGACTGTTTCTATCACTTAAGCTCGAGTTGAATGATAAATTTGATGTCTTTACGTATCTAATGCTTTGGAAGATGAATGTGCCGCCGGGAGCTTCTTTTATTATGCTTCTGTTTTTGCGGGGAATTCAAGATCTAGGTTGCATGTTAGAGCTGTTATTGTCACTAACCTCTTTGGTTACATTAGTCCTTTGTCCTATGCGTCCAAGCCTGGATTTTACATCCTTCCTGATCAGCTTGATGTAGGAAACATCATTAAACAAGCTGCATGATTTTAACCGCATGGTTGTTTGGAAGAGAAGTTTAATTTTATAATTGCTTACACTTGTTAAAGTGGTGCTGATAGCCAAAGAATATGATGTGTATGTACACAATTATATATCAGTTAACATTAATATTGTATGACCTCTTCCTCCTATTAAACTCTTGCTGTTAGTGTTGAATTTAACCTTTCTGCAGAGGTTTGCATTTCAATTTGTTTCTCTCCAATGTTTATTCATTGCTTTTTTGATCCCTGTATTTTCTTGGAGTATGCTCTGTTGTCTAACAGCTAACCTTTATAATGTTTTCAGAGATAGTATGGCAATGGAGGTTACCCAGGTCCTCCTAAATGCACAATCAGTGGATTCAACTGTACGAAAGCATGCAGAAGAGTCATTGAGGCAGTTTCAGGAGCAAAACCTTTCTGTATTCTTATTATCTCTTTCTGGGGAACTTGCTGGTGAGGACAAACCAGTTGATAGCCGTAAACTAGCTGGTTTGATCCTTAAAAATGCTTTGGATGCTAAGGAACAACATAGAAAATATGAGCTTGTCCAAAGATGGTTGGCATTAGATGTGGGTGTGAAAACCCAGATAAAAACATGCTTATTACAGATACTTTCTTCACCTGTGCCTGATGCTCGCTCTACTGCTTCACAAGTCATTGCAAAAATTGCAGCCATTGAGTTGCCGCAGAAGCAGTGGCCTGAACTGATAGGTTCACTTCTGTCAAATATTCACCAGGTCCCCGCTCATGTGAAGCAAGCCACTTTGGAAACTCTAGGATATTTATGTGAAGAAGTTTCTCCAGATGTGGTAGACCAAGATCAAGTGAATAAAATACTGACAGCAGTTATCCAAGGTATGAGTGGAAATGAGGGGAATAATGATGTCAGGCTTGCAGCTACCAGAGCATTGTATAATGCTCTTGGATTTGCTCAAGCAAATTTTTCCAATGATATGGAGCGTGATTACATCATGAGAGTTGTGTGTGAAGCTACTTTGTCTCCTGATGTCAAAATCCGACAGGCTGCTTTTGAATGTCTGGTCTCGATTTCGTCTACGTACTATGAGAAGTTAGCTCCATACATCCAGGATATTTTCAATATCACGGCCAAGGCTGTTAGGGAAGATGAGGAGCCCGTTGCTCTTCAAGCTATTGAACTCTGGAGCTCAATATGTGACGAGGAGATAGATATTTTGGAAGAATATGGGGGT